AATTATGTTCCCTTTCCTTTAGTGTGGAGTAGCTACATCAGTTATTTAGAATTCTTCTGCATGAAAATGTGTCTCTTCTCCCACATTTATTAATTTATCCAATTACTTATTTATATCAGTATGGTCTCATGGATATTTTATACTTTGGGTTATAATCCAACACAACTTTATTTTGTAGCTCAAATTGTTCCAGCTTTGGTCATTAGTAGCTTTTCCAGGTGGCTCCTATGCCCATTTGCTTTGCTATACCTACATTAATGTGAGGGTTTTTTGAACACTTCCTTAATTTCTGGAATTATAAGATGCTCCAGACTCTCCTTGTAAATTTCTTACCGCAATCCTAAAATCAGCCATTTCTCAAAGAAATCCTGGTTGATATTAATTGGAGAATTGTATTAGACCCAAAATTTGTGAAATAGGTATCCTCCCCATCCCTCTTTTTATCTAATCTTTTTTCTATCTGAAAGCTTTAAAATCTGGTCTTTATCCCAAGATTCTAATATTTCATGATAATTTTCTTTGGTTGAGAAGCTATTTTCATTTAAACTGATTGACCTTCTGTAGGCTCATTCACTTAGGAGAATTGGGTCCTTCAATTTTGAGAAATTTTCTTGAATTATTTATTTGAGGATTTACTCTCCCTGTTCTCTGTTCTCTCTGAAATTCCTGTCAGCTGGAGGTTAAACCTTTGGAATTTATTCTCTATTCTTATCTTTACTATCCTATTGTCCATCTCTTAGTACATTCTTTGTGATTTTCACAATTTTATTCTCCAAAACTCTTCTCTTTCTTCCCTCCCCTCCCCCACTACGCCCCCTCTCTCCCCTCCTTTTCGTACTCCACTTTTTCTCCTCTTCCTCCTCCTCTCCCTCCTTTTCCTCCTCCTCCTCTTTCTTCTTCATAGATTAAGATTACAAAAGCTTTCAAATATAGAGCATCCTACTCTTGTTCCATGGATGTATCACTCTTATTTCTTACATTAATTCTGTTGCTCTGTCTTTACCTCTATAGAGTTACTGGTTTTGTTGGATTTGTTTCAGTTTCTCTCTGCCATAACAAAGGCATTCTCCAAATGTCCAATGGTTCTTGTTTAGTGAGTGTGGGAATTAATAAGTGAGGGGCAGTGGAGGAAAAGATCATCTATGAGGGAGGAAATCAGAAGCTTGTGTTTTATTCACAATGGTTATTGGCATTCAAATGGATAAAAAATCTGTTCATAATTGTAATAAGAATTCAGACGAAGGGGAAGATTTTCAACCAGAAAATAAACTCTTAATAAGAATGTCCATAAAGTAAGAAGATGGTTGCAACAGCAGAAGATAAGAGTGAGACAGCTAGAAGTCCTATCTTTGAAGGAAGAGTTTTGATTTGTTTGTATTTTGGGAGATTGTTTGTTGGTCATGTTTTACACAAGGTTTCACCAACTGAGAATATAGTGATGTGGAGTGGGAATAGAAACACTAGGCTTATCCCCACTCCTAACACTGACATCTTTGATGCTAGAATAAACAGGCCCCACTGTGGCATCCTGCAAGGAAAGTAATTCCCCCAAGGGGCTTCTCTGGTTCAAGTGCAGTGTGATACAGCAGGTTTATCTTGACAAGGTAGGACATGTGGGTTGCAGCGATTCTCAACCTGTGGGTAGCGAACAATGAAAATACATCCTGCATATCAGATATTTACATTACGATTCATAACAGTAGCAAAATTACAGTTATGAAGTAGCAACGAAAATAATTTTATGGTTGGGGGTCACCACAACATGAGGAACTGTATTAAAGGGTCGCGGCATTAGGAAGGTTGAGAACTACTAGTAGAGCTTCCACCTTATGAATATACTAGAGGCCCAATGCACAAAATTCGTGCAAGAGTAGGCCTTTCTTCCCCTGGCTGCCGGCACTGGCTTCCCTCCAGCACCCAGGACCCGGGCTTCCCTCACAGCCCCGGCTTCATCCAGAAGGTCGTCCCGAAGGACGTCCGGTCTAATTATCATATTGTGCTTTTATTATTATAGATCCTTAGAAAACACAGCATAGAACAAGGGTGTCAAGGCAGAAGTATGGGAAACAAATAGCAAATGAACCCTCCCACCTCTGAGCAAGTCAAAGGGATCTCATCAGCTTATTAGCAGCACGATAATTGCTAAAATTTATCAGATCCAACCTAGTAAAATTATCTAACAGCGGTGGCAAATATAATTTGCTCCAGAACAACAGAAAATGGATGTACCACTCAGAAGATACATCCAATATCATCAGTTTCCCTTCTATTTGCCTCTTTTTTCTATTATTGCTCTGCAAAATGGCTTGAGATGAGTTGCGTGTTCATTACATATTACACAAAGCCATACAGTAATCTCCCCTTATCCATGGTTATACACTCCAAGACCCCAGTGGATAGCATGAAACTGCAGACAGTGCTGAACCTTGTGTATACTATATATTTTTCTATATGTACACATGCATGACACATTTTAATTTATAAATTAGGCAATAATTTTATAAATGCATCGAATATTAACAAAAATGCTAATAAAATTGAAAAATTATAATAATATGCTGTAACAAAATTATGTGAATGTGGTCTCTCCCCACACACACCTGGAGAATATACCCTATTGTAGTTCCTCACCCTTCTTCTTGTGATGTTGTGAGATGACAAAATACCAAACCTATTCCTCAATCTGTGTGACCACCCCTTACTTTCAGTAAACAAGCGGTGTGGTGCCACTTGTTTCTGGGTGTCCCTGGCTGAAGTTTTCTTGTAGGGTCGGTGTTTTCTGGCACAACACGTGGTCCCCAATCAGAACAAGTTCCCATTCATATTCTCCACTCACGAATTTAACGCCTTTTCACTTTAACTAAACACTTATCACACATGGTGGCCACTACTTTTGCAGTTTGAGGTGCAACCAACAGCGAAACGAACACAAATTTCTTTTCCTTCTTTACAATTTTATGGGTAAAAAATTTGTTCTTACCGTAGATCTTTGCGAGCTCAGGATACGATTTCTTTTTCTTTCTGATTAAGTAGAGAATTTTCACCTTTCACTCAAAACTTTAAAGTTTCTCTTTGGAGTATCCAAATTGCCAGCATAATGGCTTTTGCGCTTTGGGGCCATTATGAAGAACAATAGTGGTACTTGAACATGTACGAGCCTTGTGATGCCATGACAATCGCTCCGATAAGCACAATGGCTACTGATGGTCCAGGAGTGGACAAAGGGAGGATTCACATCTTGCGGAACAGAATGGGGTTCTCAAGATTTCCTCGTGCTACTTAGAATGGCACTTGAAAATGTATGGATTGTTTATTTCTGGAATTTTCCACATAATATTTTCAGACTGTAGTTGACAATAAGGTAACTAAAACCACAGAAAGAGAAACCGCAGATAGAGGGGCCTACTCTACTTCTGTTTATGTCAAATATCTTATTTAAGCTATCAAATATTTGATATTAATAAATTTAAGTTTATATTATGTTTGAATGTACTGAGAGATGCATAGGATTTTACTAAGTGAGAATGGATGTGTCAGATTGCTCCAAGGAAAAGTTCTATGCACTGGAAAATTCACTTGTTACCACAAAGCATGCGGAAGAAAGCTGGTGATTCTTATGTTGTCTGTTAGAAAAAAATCAAGTGCATATTTGACACCACAAAATAATTATTGTTAATTTTTAGGTATGATAATGGTCTTGGGTTATATTTTTTTAAAATTCTTATCATTCAGAGACATATACTGATGTATTTTTGGATAAAATGATATGACATCTGAACCACTTTTACGTTAATTTAAGGTGGGAAGGAGGATACAGAAAAACAAGATTGTCTATGTGTTCACAATAGTTGAGGCTGAGTACTAATACATAGGAGTTTATTGTACTTTCTTTGTATTTTTGTATATATTTGGAATTTTTCATAATAAATATGTAATTTAAACAAACAAACAAAATACATGCAACAGACCCTCCCTTTCTGTGAATCGTGAATGAAACATGCTGTGCCTAAGATGGTTTTGCACAGAAACAGTGTTAGCTGAATCCCACTTTACTCCTCTGTTCTATAACTGGCAATATACAATTTGAATCTCATAAATATACATGATTTCTTTTCCCCTTTCCTCAGTGTGTTGCAGGAATTTTTTTTTAAAGGAAACTTTACCCCTTCCAAACAAATTGGAATTATAAAATGAATGTGCTATGGCGTGGGAAAATGTCCAAACTCCCTTTGAGAAAGAAGGTTCAACAACTTTTCCCTTCACCATCCCCCAAATTTCCAAAATGCATAATTTTTCCTGTGCCCCTTGTGTTTCAAATCACTGGAGCTGGAAAGAAACCTAGAGTGAGGAGGTTGTAGCTCCAGGCCTTTGTTCCCTAAACACCTGCACACCTACACACACCTACACACACATCAAACAGCCACACCACAGCCATGTCCAGATTTGAATGCCGCAGGCTCCACTGGGGCAGCAGGGCAAGGCGACAGAGAAAGCAGCTGGAGGTAAAGAACCTGTTTGCCGCCGTCCTCTCTCACTCTTCCCCGCCTCTCCCTCCCCATCACATCTCTTTGCCATCCTCTCCAACCTCCCACCTTAACTGCATCCCTGCTCTGAATCGCTGCTTCTCCATTTCTTCAAGTCCAAGTCTTCTCCCCGCTCCACCTCCTTACAGATCCCGCTCCCCTCGCCCCCTCCCTTCCCAAGGCAGCTGAGGCACAAGCCCTCGCAGCTGCCGGGGTCCTGCGGCAGCAGCAGCCTCCGCAGCCGGTTTCAGTCAACATCACCCCGCCCACGCCCGGGTGTTGAAGTCCAACACTGGCCTGGAGCGGAGGGCGGAGGAGCGGGGAGGGAGGAGTGGGAAGGACACAAAACAGCTTCCAGGCGGCGGGCGCGGCTCCACTGCGTATCTGGCTGGAGGGGTTCCCTGGGTTAGTGGCTGGGCAGCTGCCCCAGGGACTCGGGTTCTAGCTGGCAATTCAGTGGGGCCGTTTACTACCGAGCCTGGGTGGCATCAGCTGGTGAGGGCAGATGCTAATCTAGCAACACCATCTAAGCCACCGGAGCCCAGGAAGCCAGAGAGATCAGAAAGAAAGAGAAGCCCAGGAGGAGAGAAAGGGCTCCAGGGAGCCCAGCTCCAAGGGCTCCAAGGAGCCCAGGTGCTGGCGGAGACCCATCACATGGGAGCAAGTAAGTGTTTTTTCCTTGCTGTGTGCCCAGTCCCAGGAGGGTGTCATCTGCAGCCAGTCTTCCCCACCCAACCCCCACCGACCCCACCCCATACACACCCCAGGCGATTAGTAGATTCTGGACATGAATGGAGAGAGCTGCTTTTGAGAGCAGCAGTGGCCTGTGGGTGTTTGCTCTGCAAGGTATGTGTGGGCAGTTTGTCCATCCCACCAGGTAAGCTTCTGAAACCAAGAAGTTATGTTGGTGTAAAATATCTAGAAGCCCTACTTGTCAATGGTTTTTAGGTCACATGACACAATAATAGAAGAGAAGGAATGATACCCTATGCAGGCTGGAGCATATTTCTCCTAAGGAATCTTGTCTCATATTCTAAGTAATTTAGTGATTTCAAGGTTGGTGCCTTTCATGTAAGAACGGACAGTATAAAATTAGAGGCATAGATATGATGGGAACTGTTGTGCCTCGTTTAAACCACTAGGCATTTTGGTATTGTCTGGATCAACAGGTTTTGGGTTGTGGTTGTTTTCTTTCATTGATTAGTTCTGTAAAATGCATACGTCCGGAGGTTTTCTTTTTGAAGCGATGATTATTCTTTGTGACTCTGGCTCTATGTTGCCTCCAACACTCAGGGTACCGTCAGAGCAGGATAAGTGATGAATGCAGGTGGAATGACAGCGACGGGCTCCCTTTACTTGTGGAAATGATGGATGCAGGTTTGGGTATTGGTCAGAAAAATCTCTTAAAATGGGAAGGAGTTTGGGTGGTGCTTTTTGTGGTTATTTTTTCTTCCTGGCTATTGTTCAGGAGAGTAGTTTATGGCAACAATAGAAGGAAGCGGGGCCCAATAAAAAAGAATCCTGGGTACCATACCTGCTACATGGAGCCCTTATTAAAATTACAGGTCAAGCAGATAAAGCCCATAAGGAGTAATTTGTCAGTAATTACCTAGCTAATGAATGAAGAGTTGAAGTCCAATAAAGAAGACTTTGAGGTTAAGAATAATGAAACATGATTTCCATTTTTGTGAAAAATGAAGCAAATGATTTAACTTTTGATTAAGCTTTATATTTCTTATTTGTAAATCAAATATCAAAAACATATTCTGGTAAGGACTAAATTACAGAAGGGTTTGTGAAGGTAATGTGTTTAACTGTTGTTTGCACAAAGAGTTTTTCTATTTTTATACATTTATTTCACTGTTCTAGCTCTCATTTTAAGTCAAGTTCAATATCTGAATAAAAGGAGCTTTCACAGGCCTCACTAGAGGAAGTGAAATTCACATGCAGGTCATGATCTCTTGCCACCTGTACAGTTTCTAACCTGTGAGCTTCCATCCTTGCAACATTTTATGTTTAAACACCTTTGAATGCTCTCAATATATGCTTTAGCCACTTTCTCTTTTTAGTTTCAAATTTTGATTTAGTCATATGGTCTTTCTTCCTTAGGATGAAACCATCAAGTATATTAGCTATTGCTGAATGTATTTTGATCCATTAGTTACTATAGGAAAAATCAGAGTTTAGGCATACATAATCCACTCTTGAGGGCTGGGAGTAATTAAAACCCTGCACTCAGGGGAGAAGTACTCTGAGCCCCTTCTTTCCCATCAATATATTTAAAACAATAGGAGAAAATCTTAAAATTGGACGTGGGCTCAGGAAGAAGGAACACCAGATCCCAGATGATGTGGGCAGGCCCCAGGACCTGCCACTGCCCATCAGCCTCCATTGGAGAGTGGGTGGTAGAGCCAGGCACCTGGGAACTGAGTCTTGTGTCTCACAGCCTCCTGTGGGAGAAGCTCTGGGAGGGTAGTTGATATATATTCCCATAGCTTGATCAGAGAGGATAAATATAGGCCTAAAGCACACTGGAAATAAAAACAACAGTATTTTGCTCAACTCCTACCTAGGGAAGAAATATCCTAATACACCCCAGCCCTAGATCTCATTATGACAGGATCTGTATCATAAATGAGGCATTCTGAGCCTGACCCAGGATCCTATCTCTACCACCATAGACTTTCTCTTGAAAGCTTATGGTGGGGGCATTAGCATAAAAAGGACATTCTTGATTTCTGGGAGTCTGGTCCCATTATTTTCACTACCAGTATCAGCATTGGTCAGTTGTGAGAGGACGTGTGTAAACCCTGCCCACCCTACTAGCTATCAGCAATGCACAGTCTCTCACTATCAAGGCCAGGTAAGCAAGGTCTCATCTTTACAACATTGAAAGAAGGAACCTTTAACACTGCAGAGAAAGTTTTCATCTGATGGCTTCTAGGGATATTTTTCCATTGGTCTGTATCTCTTGGCCCAGGTGGGATTATGATTTCCATGAATTTGTTCAACCATTGCTATTTATAAACCAGTCTTATTCTGGTTATACTCTATGCTGACGGGGGAACCCCCATTTGTCTGACCAACAGATATCCCTGTTGTGTACACAGTATTTCTGACTGGATTGACTCAGACTGGTGCTGGCTGAGGATTCCCACCTGTGTGGTGGCAGCCAACTGCCAAACTGACTGTATTAGCATCAAACAAGAGCTTGATTAAGTTAGGGCCTTGCCCAGGGAAATTCTGTTTTTAAAAGACTGAAATCAAAGGAAGTTGATTGGGTTGGGGGAGGGGGATGAATGTCCCTGGTTGAATCTATGATGTTGGATGGAATATTCCTTCCTATCTGCTTTAGATGCCAGAGTGAGGCTCCCAGGCCACCAGCCTCTCACTCTCCGGGTTCTTCCCGAAGCTGCATGGTCTAAGTGCTAATTATGGGCTATAACTCTGGCTCTGGTCCATAGCTAGTTTTGTGCTAATATGTTTCAAGGCTCCTCTCTGGTTTCTCTGAAATTCGAAAAGTGGTTGGGTATCTATGTGTTTGGTTCCTCACTTGAAAAGCTAGAGAGTTTGCGGAGTAGGAGTAGATCCTGGAGGAACAGACCAACATTCTGAGAGTGATCAGGAGCCGAAGTGGACAGCCAGCTTTAGGAGGCCTTCAGGGTTCCAGTGACTGTGCCAGTTATGGAATTTTTAAAAAATTTATATTCCACAGATTCAGTGGCACCTAAAACCATAGGTCAAAAGGTCTCAGGGTCGCTCATGAGTATAGAAGTTACATGAATAACAAGCTCTCCTTTGTATGCCTCTAGCAGGGGCAACAACACATTCTTCCTGGTTGAGCTCTTTATTGGCCTCTGGCCAGATTTTCCTTGTCAAGGGTCTGACTAGGGTCACAGAACAGTGTGCTCTGGAAAGATTCTGGCCTTTCCCCAACACGCTTGTTTTGGTGGGCTGGACAGGCACAGCTTGGAATTTGTTGTCATATTCACAGAAACAAGGGACCTGGCTAGTGAGCCATGAGGTTGCCATAGAGAAGCTCAAGTGGGCACATTTAAAGACCAAGACGGCTTTTCTTCATGTTCCTGGAACCCCTTTGTTGCCTCACCAGCCATAATGGCTCACCCTGCTGAGACTCTGTCTCCCACAGAGATTTATTGTACTGCATCCTCTCAGGGCATTGGGACATTCACCTAGCTTACCTTGGTCTCATTCGTGTAAGTCAGTGGTTCTCAACCTTCCTAATGCCACGACCCTTTAATACAGTTCCTCATGTTGTGTGACCCCCAATTTCATTGTTACAGATTGAACATAATTAAAGCATAGTGATTAATCACAAAAACAATATGTAATTATATATGTGTTTTCCGATGGTCTTAGGTGACCCCTATGAAAGGGTCTTTCGACCCCCCAAAGGGGTCGCAACCCACAGGTTGAGAACTTCTGGTATAAGGGCATTGAGACTGGGTGCTAAGACTGTCATATGACACTTTTATCCTCCTCAGTATAGGAGGATCACACATACTCCGAATGTGTGTGATCTGCTCTCCTCCTCCCTGGAAAGAAGACATTTGCAAAGACCTCAGGTCCTGATTATTTTAATGAACCATCATTGGAATACAAGTTTACCAGATTTTGAGGAGCATTCAGTTCTCAAAAGTGATCTATTTGAGGAGAGATGGGACCTGTCCCTTTGAACTTTTGCTGCTGCTCATGATTTACAAGGCTGTTTTTCTAGCTTTTGAATCCAGAAGAATGCCTAGATTAAAATTTTTAAAATTTATTTTTAAAAAGACAAAACGACAGTGCATACTTGTGTTTTTGAGAAAGTTATTTATAATTTTCTTCTGCAAGATGACATATTGGCTGAAACTGTCAGAATGAGAGAGTTGAGACCAGAATGAAGTGGATATACTGAGGCCAAAATGGGCTGACTTGGGAATAGAAACAGCTGCAGTCAGACTCCAGGTCCAGGGACAAAGGAGGCAAAGTCAATTAGGGCAGGCGAGATAAATTGTATGCCAGGAAGAATTAAAGAGTAGGAGTCAGCTAATCAAAGTTAAACAGGAAATAAGCAGCTGAAGTGGAAAAATAATCCCAAAGCAAAAAACCAAGAGGGTTGAAATCAAGGGGAACAGGCAGCTGCAAAATTCCAGGTGGATTGGTGCCTTTTTGGTCAATCTGACCTTTATTCCCCAGCCTTCAGTGTGTAAGCATTCCACTTCTGGGTTTTCGTAATACGTACATGCTATATTACATTCAAGTAGTAGAGAACCGTTAACCAGAAAGCAACAGAATCTCCTGACACCTTTTCAGTTCCTCTTCATGGATATAGCAGTTTGATTTCTTCCAGAGGGGAAACATTATGCATGTGGTAGCATGTATAACCCTATGTATATAACTCTTATAAAACATTTTATTCAAAGGTAAACAAGGTAAGCCATTCCTAATGTTACATTTTTCATGAAGTAATTTATTTTGGGAATCTTTCCATATGAGCACAGACACATCTCATTCTTCATGTTTACTAAATAGTGTCTCATGATAGCAACCTACTGGATTTAGGATATTAGCTCCTTAGGGTGGACAATTTGATTGATTTCAGTCTTTGAAATTAAAGGCCTGTTGTGACTAACATCTTTGCAAACATGACCTCTCAACTTC